TTTTTGAAATTTCATCCATTTCAATGTTCAAAAATGTATATGGTTTCCTTTTGTTTAAACTCAAGTGTTTTGAAATAAACATTCTTTTTAAGAAAAAAATTCTTTATAAAAAATGGTTTCTTAACGCTGAAAATTATTTTCAAGCTAATATCTTTGCATATCTTGATGCTTTTGTCATTAAAAATGTCAACAATTAACTTTTTAACAATTTTATATCAATATTTTACTAAAAACAGGATTATTAAACTGAATTCCTATCGCTGCACAAAGTAGCCCCACTTGGGGGCTACTTTGTTTAGCGATAGGTTTGTTTTGACTTATACGGTATGTTTTGACTTATAATTTGTAAATATTACATACAAATAATGCCAATATTGATCAAATTCACTCGTCTGAGTCCAGTTATGAATATAATACCGATAAATTTTACTAAAGTTTGAATTAACATAGTTTTTTTACATGTCACAGTACAAAAACTGCGAAATCCTACACAAAGTAGCCCCACATGACGGTAGGTCAAAAGTTGTAACGCTTTAACAGCTTTTGACCTAATGGCCGAATTTGACTTGATGAACCTAAACGTTTCTAAGTATAACATTTCCACTTCACATTGTATATTACACACAGACTATAATATTAATTATCATAAAATAAATTAATTATCATGAAGTGAAACATCTCTTTTTAAGTTTTTTGAAAGCTTAGAAAGTTTACCTGAGTAGAAATAATTAAGAAAACGACACATTATTCGATTGGCATTTATCGATTGTTGCAATAATGATGTAATTATCACCTGACAAAGTTAAATTTGAAATTAAGTTCTAATTCTTCGTGAATTTTTTTTTAATATCCGAAAAAATTTTCGCGGTTTCAATCATATTAAACTTTATAGCTAGCTCAATTTTGTGCCCCTTTTAACATGGTGGCTTTGGTAGATACCACACAGTTAGAATTTTCTCTCTAAAATTATGGTAAAATAACTGGCAGCAGTCTGTCTATCCAACTAACCAAGAAGTTTACGGTAAATTTTTTCTTTACCTTTACAGTTTTAAAATCGTTTTTAACTTGTATGGTTAAAAAACCATTAATACCAAATTATGCTATTTTTTAACCATTTACAACTAGTATGGTTTCAAATTTGTTAAAAATACTAGATATGGCAGACAGCGCAGCAGCTTTATGGTGCTGATATCTATCAGGGCTAAAGAGAATAGAAGGGCTGGTTCACTCCTTTGAAGTAACTCTCGCCGCTCCAAGCCTCCGATTTTCTCTAGTGACGTCACTTTGGCTGGTATTGGATCATTTCTTTTTGCGAGATATTCTAAGACATTTGTTATTTTCTATAATGACTTTCCTCAGTTTTTGCAGTGAATTTACAAGAATTTAAAACTACAGTGAATTCGCAATAACTCGAATCTGATAGGACTGACGAAAAACTTCGACATATCGGAAGTTCGACTTACCGTTAGTTTCGGTTTTGGACTTTCAAAATATTTTTGGATTATTTAATTAATGCTTATTAATTATAAATCTTCTAAATGCTTACAATATTTAACATCATTTTTCTGACAAGCCATTTACGATAAGACTGTTTGAAGCACTTTATGATACCCTGGTCCATCGGCTGCAACTTTGCTGTTGTGTTTGGCGGGAGAAACTGCAAGTTTACTGCTTTCAAATTAGGTAGATCACTATGCGTTGTGCATTTATCCATAAAGAGTATCACTTTTCTTTNGGAAATCGTAGCTTCAGTTCTAAGAGCGGAGTGAACTAGCCCTTCTATTCTCTTTAGCCCTGGATATCTATGCGTGAATGATAGTATCGTATATTAATATCCCAAGGTCATAAATTAGGGAGGGCAAGATACTGATAACTTTTCATGTGCTTAAGGGATTGGAGGAAACGCTGGGACTCGAACCCCCAGTCTGGCAGATATGAGATTGACAGATAATCCCTCTCAGCTATAATGTGTAGCCAGCTGCAAGGAACTAAGTGGCATCATTAGCTGGGGACTGGTTGGTGCGATAAAATTCTGGTTGCTTAACCGTATTAGGTGAAAATAGTAAATAGCCGATTTTTATCACAATTTACAGTTTGAATACCATCTTATTTATGGTTATTTGACTGTTTCGTTTGAATATGGTAAAATAATAATTAAATAAATTGTTATTTAACCATTTTTTCCAAGGAACTTCTAACAGTGCAATTTTTGAGGCATAGAAATAAGAAGAAAAAACAATTATATTCAGAGTTAGAAGAAAAGAAAGAAAACAGAGCTTCATATTTTCTTCATATATGTCAGTTTTTAAATTTTTGGAGAAAAATAGTTATATTTAGCTTAAAATGGTGATCACTAAATGTCGTTTAATTTAAAGCCATGGTTCGTAAGCATTTAAATTTGGAACCATTGAACTATGAATGTAAAATTGTTATTAATCAATTACACTGAAGAGCCAAAAAAAGTATGCAAATAAAGGGGTATGGAGCCAATCAAAGTACAGTGCTGCGATCGGCAACACGTATATAAGACAACGAGTGTCTAGCACAGTTCTTAGAGACCAGGCACCAGGGAGATTCGCTCAAGCCTCGCTAGAAACAAGACGTGTTATCTCTGCGCAGTTATGCCTTATCATAGAATAGCCCGCGGCGGAAAGGTGCTCCCCTCAGGCCGCTCTCAACTACCGATTACCGTTGACCAAGCCTCGTCAGATGAATTACTTAAGAATTGTGGGATTACCCCACAATTTCTCCTTCCGAGAAAGAACATGGACAGAGATGAAGCTAAAGATTACTACTATCAGTTTACATTGGAAGAACTGGTAAATGTGAGAACACCCTATTTTAGGTTCCTAAGGAGTCCAGACTGGCGTACAAGTCCTATATATTATTACATCCAAAGAGGAGGTGATGGAATAAGCTACGCCATTGATACAATGGAACAAAAGATGAAGAAGGAGAATGATCTTAAAAACGAAACTCCAGATACCCTCCCAGAATCCAAAGCTCAAACGACTGTGGAAGAGGACGCAACCAAAGACACAGTGTCTGTTCCATTCATTATACTGACTGATATGGATACTACAGAATTTCCTGATCTCTCGGAGAAAAGGAATAAGAAAAAGGGGAAAAAGACGAAAACGAGTGTCAACCAGGCGACACTTCTCGACAAAACTACAGAAGCCGAGCCCACCCCAGTCCCCGCTCCCGCCATCCCAGCGGACCCAGTACCGGTAGAGTGTGTGAAGGATGCCGACTTGGTTGAACCCACCACTTCTAACACCATAACTATGGACTCGACTCCTAACAAAAAGATAAAAACCCTTATCAGAGGACTTCAAATTAATACGGAAATTCCAGTTACTGAGAAATATCTCATCGAATTCGGACTTAAACCTGATAAAATAGTGCAACTTAGAAGAAGAAGTGAACAGGAACTTAGGCCCCTCCCACTTTTCCTCATCATACAAACAGATACGCCCACCAAAAGGAATATCTACAACATTAGGTCAATGCTCGAGAATACAGTTAAAATTGAAAGATTTAGAGGAGGGCGATTTCAGATACAATGCTATCGGTGTCAAAAATACGGCCATACCCAACGCAGATGCCCAGCAACCGAACCAGCCTGTATGAAATGCGCCGAATCCCACTACACGTACGTATGTACGAAACCCAGATCATCTCCTGCTAAGTGCATCAACTGTGATGGTGAGCACCCGACCTGTTTTTCAGGCTGCGGTGCAAGATCCAGAAAATCTAGTGATCAACCTATAAAGACAACAGACACAGCGAGTAGATTTTCACTTCTCTTCAAGGAAATGAAAGAACTTTTGCAAAACGAAGAGCTGGTTAAGCTGCTTCGTTTCCTCCTCCCCGAGACACAGAACTAGAGTGGTTTTTCCACTGGCAACAAGTCATCTCTACACATGACCTCCACAGTATTATGCTTTGATGAACTTTTCATCTAATTTCATTCGAAATTTTATGCCTATTCAACTTAAGACTTTTTATTTTAGATGGATCGGTAAGTGGCGCTTCGCGCCAAAAGCCGAGATTACACCTATTTCCAACGTTCCAGCACAGTTCTTAGATCGGTTACTGCTGCTACAATGCCAGGTTATACAGATTTAAGTGAGTTTGAACGCGGTGTTATAGTCGGCGCACGGGAGATGGGACATAGCATCTCCGAAATAGCAATGAAATTTGGATTTTCACGTACGACCATTTCACGAGTATAGCGTGAGTATCGGAAATCCACCCAAATCCCCAGACATGAACATTATTGAACATATTTGGGATGCCTTGCAAACGTGATGTTCAGAAGATATCCCCACCCCCTCTTACTCCCACTGGTTTATGGACAGCCCTGCAGGATTCATGGTGTCAATTATCTCCAGCACTACTTCACACATTGATCGAATCCATGCCACATCATGTTGCGGCACTTCTGCGTGCTCGCGGGAGCCCTACACGATATTAGGCAGGCATACCAGTTTTTTTTACTCTTCACTGTAGAATGACAATGACAGCCAGGGACGGCTCAGAGAATGGAACGCTTGGTGGCTGGTTGAGTCTTATACTGTTTTCGGTCTGCACTGTGGATACTTTAGTATGGCAAATATCCATCGTGATAGAGGGATTATGGGTTAAGGTTCAATTAACGTCAGGCTAACCAAGGGATAGGGTCAAAGTTTTTTTTCTTCTCCTTTTTATGTTACAAAAAAAGTCACGCAGTAGACCCTCCAAGTAAGAAAAAATAAGGAGCATGAAATATCAAATAAATTTCAAAACATACAGCAGCGTCAACCAGTTCTTTGTAAGGTTTGTATAAGTTAAAAATATAAATACAAGTTTGAAAAATTTTAAATGTATTATGTAAATTTTAAAAAAATTGTCATATCATAGAGAAATTCACAGTATTATTAATTTTTTATAACTTCAACCTACATAATTTTCTTTTTCTGATTTTATTAAACGTACCGTAAATATACTTTACTTACTTATTCATGTAGTTGAAGTAATTATACAGAACTTTAGTGTCAATAGAACTTTTACAGACTTCTAAATTCATTTTTGGATAGTAATGGACATAATTTACACACATTTCGTCACTTATGGCATATCCACCCTAATAAAAAATTAATCATTGTATAAACATTTTGAGTAAGTATACAAAAGTCTGTAGTATATTTTAAAATGTGCCTCTCTTACAATACATCTAACATTACACATCTGAGTAGTACAAGGTATTACATATGAGTATTACATGTATTGAAATATCTCATTTGTCAGAAAACGTGTGTGTTATCGCCATTTAATGTTACTTAGGCCAATGGGGTAACTTAAACCCTTTTGCGAAGTAACTTTCAAATTTTGATTCTAGCAATACTGTTTTTTGTTTCAAATATAAACTATGAAACTTCACTTAAATTTAAGATAATTACATCATAAATTTGAACCTTTCGTCATTACTTTAATCAACAAAGTCGCATTTTTAAGTTGAACTTCCTGCAAACATTTTTAAACATAATCTCAAACAGAACTTTTATGGTTGGTTTACTTCATTGATTATATTTCCATTTTGATTTTTGCTCCATATTTTTAAATTTATTCTTGTTTCCTAAATGAGTTAACAAAGACAGGCAAACTTTCTCCACAAGGATCAGATTAGAAGTGAGGGGTTCAGAAGGATACTTATATAACAATAGACACTTAAATGAATGTTTTTTTAATGTTAAAAAACCGTTATTGATTTTGTAATTCTGTAACTTAATTTACATTATTTATAAGATGATTTAACGTTCTTTAAGAAGTTAAACCTATTATGTTTAATTTTCAAGAACATTATTTTTTAATTAACTTTGTAAATGTCTTATTTTAGAAAATCTTGAATTTGTTGTAACAAATTACTTTTGTTTGTTCATTATATTGTAAGCAAATAATTATAAAACTACGTAATTTAATCTCCTGGTAATGCTTTGTTTTAATTGTTAATTGGAATTTTAGTGATTTGTATCAGAGTTTTAAATAAAATATTTTAATTGCAAAAAACGTATTAAATATTTCCTTAGGCTTCTTGTTTTGAATATTTAATAAAATGAAAGTTAAAGAAAATCAAAAACTATTTGCATTACTTACCAAGGTAATATTTACTCTATCTATAGTAGAATAATGACACGTTGTCAACAATGCGTCTCCCTGTATTGAAAAAAGCACAAAAATGTGTGATTTGTTTTTTAAAGTAGTATAAATCCATTTAAAAAAATGAACTAATGGAAATTCAGCATGATCATATATGTCCATTTTTATATTCTAGTCATGCATTCAACGGGTATCGACTATATCGTAAAGTAATAACAAATAGTGGCTCATATATGCGAGTGCATATATTTCTTAATGGAATTTTATATATTTATTTATTTATTTTAAAATGGAAAGAGAAATATCTGTTATTGCGGCACTAAATGCAAAAGGAAAGATATAAATATTCTTTCAAATCAGGTAATTACTGATTTAAGAAATCAGGTAATCATATAAATTATAAAAATTTCCATTTTTAGAATTTTTTTTTTATAAAAAACAACCGCCAAGGATTTTTTAGCCTGATTTGACACTATTAAAATTGATTCATAGTATAAATAATTCCTAGCCTACACGTACCTCCAGGAGTATATGTAATCACCTCTGGGGTACATGGAATAAAAAGAAGATATAATTATGGGCAATAGTGTTTAACTTGAGTACAAGTTACTTAGAAACAGCTTCTCTATTTCTTTATCACCCTGACCAATCAGTTTTTAACTTGATTTCTAAGTTAAAAGTACCATAATTTTATAAGTATTGCGACTTGTATTTTAACACGAAACAATGGTTAAAATTTGGTTTAAAAAAATAACAAGTTATCAGGTACGGAACAGACAACACAAATCGTGCCCATTTTTTTATAAAAAATTATTTGCGTTAAATGAAGAAAATTATTTCTTACTGGCAATACATGCACTTGCTGCTTGAGTCTCCTAATTTCTTGAAAATGTGTGCTATAATGGTCATCTCTGTTTAGTTCTGGTAATTCATCAGACCCTCTGATATGTCTTGTATAAACTTTGATTCCTGTTAAATGTGTATGAAGTTGTGATCCAAAAATAACGATTCCGTCATCAGGAAATCCCTATTAAAAGTAATAGCAAATTTATAGAATAGAATTGAAATTGTGTCATTTATAGAATAGAATTGAAATGGTATCATTTATAGAATCGAATTTAAATGGTGTCATTTATAGAATAGAATTGAAATGGTATCATTTATAGAATAGAATTGAAATGGTATCATTTATAGAATAGAATTGAAAAGATGTCATTTATAGAATAGAATTGAAACAAAAATTTTATGAACTCCCATGAAACTTTTTTTGTAAATATGCGTAATATATTTTTCGAAAAACCAAAAAAAAAGAAGAAAAAAAAAACGAGTATAATTTTTTTGCGTAATGTTTCGATAATATTACATCTACAGCTATGAAATAGTAATGCACGATTGATCAAACAGTACGCTATGCTTATACCCTTGTGTGCATTGGTGTAGATAAATTTTTAAATGTTAAAAAATAAATATTTATCATATTGAACCTATATCCTAGATATATAGTCGATGCACAATTCAAGAATATTCGAAATTATGCTTATACCATGTTCTTGGTGTGGGAGGACTTTAGCTATTAGGTTCACCAATGGACAGAGGGTTTTCTTGTGGCAAGAAATGTTTTTAATGATTTTTTCACATAAAAGTATATTTTTTTACTGTAATTAAAATGGTAATATAGGTCAAACTAGGAACTAGTTATATTCATATCATTTATAATAGAGTGCTTTTAAAAATGATTCATAAAACATGTGTCAATAAATTCATATTTTATATTGTTATAGAAATTAAATCAATATTCTAATTATTGCTGTTAATGATTATATTTCTTACAGTATTAACAATTTCAGAAAATTTTAAATTATTTCAGTTAAAAAGGTTTCTTTGTTACATTTATTTTGTGCTATTAATGTTTGAGACATGGGTCATTTCCACGGAAATATAATTTTCAAGTCAGTCACATGAACCTCTTAAAAAAAATTAAAATAATGTTTTACGTGTATAAATATTGACATAATTTCCTTACAGATTTTTCCGAATATTGACGGATTTCAAACTACTTACACTTGGTGAAACAAACTTTTTAGGCTCATGATTCCATTATGAATTTTGAAATTTACTATTATCAGTAAAAATATAACGTTTAAAAATATTTTAGGGTTACGCAACTTTCCCACAACGGAACTTTCCAAAAAACAATATTCACTTTTATAAGCGCTTTGCTTGGGAATTCGCAATAAGGTCTGACGCAATATTAAACAGAATTCTGACGCAATAGCGTGCACTACCACTGCAACTCTACTATTCTTTTTCATAATATATAACTGCTGCAATTATATATATATATATATANTTGGATATGGGTATTATAAAAGATGAAAATATCGGCTTTGTTGATTTATACAGTAAAAGAAATGACTTTAATTTTAATATCAATAAACTAATTACTTGGAATTCTAATGTTTCTAAGAGCATCTATGTAAATTTCATTTTTAAACAAATGAATAGAATTAAAAGAATGTGTAGTAATGTTTATTTATCCAAAAAACAAATAGAAAAACACTTTTAAGTACGGATAAATAAAGCAATGTATACCCAGCTAATGTAAATAAGTTCTATATAAAGTCATTGGGTGTTATTAATGTATGTTATTATTAATAAATATACTAAAAACTTCTTTGTTATTCTATATTTTTACCATGTGCAAATCCAATTCGGGCAAATCTGTGGCTAAAAATATGTGCAAAACGGGCAAATCATGTTTCTCTCTCTCTCTCTTTTAAAATAAATGTTACTTTTTTAAAATCATTAAAATTGTAAAATTAAATATCAACCTTATTAATCATAAAATTTTAAATTATCCAGTATAATATTATTACCTTACACACATCCATTTTCGGACCAATCCAAAATAATTATAAAATTTGCTTATCTAATGATATTTTTTAAGAATTATTTATTATTTTAATAACATTCTTTAATACACTGGTTATCATAAATTAAGGAAAATTCACAAAAATCGCGATAANATGATAACCAGTGTAGTTGAAAATATTTCAAACTCTAAAGTATAAAAGTTTTTACATAATTTTAACGAAAGTAGTTTTAACGGGAAAAATGTAAAATTTAAACGAAATTTGTCGAATTACTTTGAGTCATCAAGTTTTAAAAAAATTACATGTTTGAAATTTAATTTCTCGAGAACTATTCGACCGATTTCGTTCAAGTTTTGCATTTTGCCATTAAAAATTACATTATTTATGAGAATATAAAAAGATTACCAATAATATTTTTTTACTATTATAAAATAAAATAATAAATGCATTTTAAAAATTTATTTTTGTTTGGACTTATCTTTGGATATACGGATTTTAGATTCGTGTGTAAAAATTTTTCGATTCACTTAAAAGAAGTTCTTGACATATGGTGAAATACACAAAAAGTTAAATTAACATTAAGGGGTCGAAACTTTGGAGCGCTTTCCTGAACAAACTATTGGGAACATATTTTCCAGATAGCGGCTGATCTCTATGTTTTGGGAATCAGAAATCCAAATCCTTCGATAAAAAGATGTGTTGATTCAGAGAAAGTACGTTTCTGTGTCTGATTTCGTAACTTAAAATATCGTCTGCACTAAATAATTAGCATATTTCAGTTCACCCCCTCGAAACATTAGGACTGAGTTATAGAACGTGAAGTTCAAAAGTTTAAGATCAAAATTCATTAGATCAAAAGTTTTTCATGGTAGTCCGTTTTTTATGTTGCGCACAAGACAAGTTACATTAAATATATCTTTAAATTAAAGATAAATTTTCTGCTCTGAATAGCATTTTAGTATAATTACTTCTATTGGGAATAATTTAAAACTGCTACTAGAAAACACGGCAGATTCTGTAACATATTGAGAAGTAAGAGTGAGAGTTAAGACTAAAGAGCTAAGAGTCAACCAAAGGCAAGAATTATTTTTGATGTCTTTATATTGAGAAAATGCCATATTTTTTAATTAGTTCTTTAAGACTTTCGAAACTTCCGAAAAAACTTGAGACCACCTTTTCTAAATTGCGACTACCACCCATATTCTAAGGGTCAAGAATCCGAATCCGTCAATTTGAGGTCAGGCCCTCTAGCTACAAAGATTGAGCTCCAGTACCTGAAAATCCAATCAACAGATCAAAAGTTATTCAAAGTGTTCCATTTTTTATTTTGAGCGCTGTACAAGTATAGGAGCATAAACAAGTGATAAAAAATGATTAAATACCGCTCGCGTGCATTCAGCCACACAGTAGCCTGTTAGTGCAAAATCTGTTTGATGAGGAGGAATTGCCATTTTATTAGTATACTCAAGACCAAGTTCCATAACTCCAGCATCGTATTTACGAAGCGTAGAGGTGTAAGTGAGAGTGACACCAGAACTGTCTATCATACCTGTAAATAAAACGATATCACTTTTAAGTTAAAAAAATGATGTGTTTCAAAATAAGGAAATTCATCATTATCAATTGTCAAGAATTTTTATAATAAATGGTACACTTATCTAAAATAGTTTCATAATAAATAGTGGTAAATGCTTCATTTTTTTTGGTCTTTTTTTAAATATCTAAGTTATGATTTCATTGGGGATAGATTGCTAATTTTAGGTTATGTTGTAAATGCGTGTCAATGTTCACAATGCTGGCCATTCATAGAAAGGTAGCAATTCATTTTATAACTATGCTCGACAATACGCTTCTAAAGAAAAAGTAAGTCAAGTACGCAAAACAACAATGTCAAGTACTCAAAAAATTTTATGCAATAACGAGAAGATTGACGAAATGTGTCGACAACATTTTTTGTTAGAAACCAGTTTTCTAATTGTTATTTATTATAAAATTAATTGTTCCAAAGAACTACTCAAACAAAGAACTTTTTCTCAGTGTACTAGTCTTTTGAAGACTAGTAGACTGAAAAAAAAGTATGGTCAAAACTACCAGAATATGGTAAATTTCGCCTTCTTCCTGGCCCTATGGGAACAACAAAAACAGGGTAATTTTTCCGAAGCGCTTTAGTAATGATTCTGGTCAAATTGACAATTAAATATGGTTTAACAATATGTGATAAAATTTTTATTTACCAGAAATTTTTTTCTCCGTTAAATGAGAAGGGTTTATAAGTAAAAACCTAAGCTTTAAAACGAAACATTATTTGCAGTAAGGATGTGAATAAGAAATATTACAAGATTACATGATTATGATTGTCAAGAAATTGTATTAGTAAAGATAACATGCTTCATAAAATTTCATTTTCTGTAAAAATAATCAACACTCCGCTACTGCATCAATTTATTTGTTATTTTATATTTAAAGTTGAGTTTAGAATTTCATAAATACTGAGACAAAATTTCTTTGTCGTGAAAGAAATTTGAATTTTTTTTCTATCATTCTTATATTTTTTAAAATTACAGTGCCACTCTTTGCAGCACATGAAATGAGCATACAAACAAACGGTACCCAAATGCTTACAATTCAAATCGAAATAAAACGCATTCATTAATAATACAATGCATATCGAAAGAATACACCATACACTCTTCTTAAACAAAATGCTAAGCTTTGCTTAACAATTTTTTAATAAGAAACTTAACATATCTTTTAATAGCATTTAAAAATAACAACTCAATTTGACTATTTATTTAAGAAAAAATTTAAATATTTTTTAAAAATCTCAACAAGCCAAATTAAATAGAAGAAAGAACAACTAAATATCTCGTTAAAATCGTAATATTTATCTGACTCATAATCGTAAATGTCGTATCATGAATCTCGTAAATATGCCTTCAAATAACTATTACTGAATTATGAGTAGACTGATTTTTATTAGATGCTTTAAAAATTTGTTTCAAATCTGGATTTTCAAATTTGAAAAATTATTTATTTATGTAACACTACATGGATAAAAGTTTTATAGTCATTAAAAATAAAAAGCAAAATATTATATTAAAAACAATGAACCCAAGAACTGCACCTAGAATTTAAGTTCATCCCAAATTTTGTGAATTACATTTACAGTGTCATAATTTAGAAAAAGTTTTAACAACATACATATAAATAATATTTTTCTGATAGTTTCATTCAACGAAACGACTAAAATACCTTCTTTAAGTTCAGGATTATTATAATGAACTTCCAACATAACGTATCGGGAAAAATCAGGTCCCCCAATTGGCAGTCCAGCTTCTTCTGGATATGTAAATGGCTAAAAAAATAAATAATGCTATTACGTGAATTATTCTTACATGAGGTTAGATTCATAAAATAGCATTACGCACACATTTTCTAATATCTATTGCTCTAACTTACTAAATAGTAAATCAAATAATTTTATATCAATGAGACATGTTTTATATTTAGAAAATATCCATGCAAAAATACATATATTTTACATACTAAACGAAATACTGGATAAGCATAGTTGACTAAAAGTATAAATGATCACATATTACCAATGCACCCATTGCCCATGCAGCTAGAACTCTTTTACAAGTTTCCAGAATCTGAGGTTTCTTCGAGCTACTGCAGGGTCCATTCCAGTCTGGTAGTTTTTTATCAGCATCAACCTCACAATGAAACACTTCCATATGATGGACCACTTCCTTGTTGCGATCTTCAATAGCTGGTGAAAACTAAAAGAAGAAAACCAGATTTATTATTTTAACTTCTAACTTTGTAATCAATAATATTTTTATAATCAATATGAGTTAATCGATGCAGACATATTTTGACATAGAAATGCATTGTATTTTCTGCCCTAGTTCTGTTGAATCATGTCTTACAAAAAATGCCTAAAAGCAAAAACAATTGAAGATATTTTAAAATAGATGCTATATTAGAAAATTCCAGACTAAACAAAACTGTGATTTTCCGAGAGTAAATAAATATATCGAATTCGGATTAATAATGTCAGTGACGTAATATCGGCAAATAAAATGGAATTTATTTTAATTTAAAAAAACTCATTGAACTGAGTTAATCGATGCAGACATATTATGACATAAAAATGCATTGTATCTTCTGTCCTATTTCTTTTGAATCATGTCTTACAAAAAATGCCTAAAAGCATAAACAATAAAATATAATTTCTTTTTTTTTTAAATAGGAAATTCCGTCTTAATTATTTAATTAATTGTTTCATTAAAATTTTTATTCACAAACAAGAGATTCCTGAGATTTTATAATTTAAACAAAAAAAATTTACTTTCAAATTTATAAAAGAATTCACATGGTAAAGTTTAAAAGAAATTACGATTGCTATTCGTAAGTTTTTATCTTTTGAATTTGAAAATATCTAAAACAAATGCTGGTCTGATGATTTGCTATTTGGAAAATTACGAGTGAAATATACATATCTAGTTATGCATGAATTGGAAATGCACATCTAGATCATGAAAATGTCGCCTTCAAATGACATATTATTCAAAAAATACTTCAAATAAAAATCTAGTTATTAAAATATTTTAGAAGAAATATTTTTTGAAAAGAAAGCTGAAATGTCAGGTTTCTAATTAATTACATTCCATACATTCTGTCCATACATTCATCATCAAAAATTATTTTCAAAATCTACTTTATCATTCTTAAATTTTTGAGCATAACTTTGCATATTGATTATATTTAAATTAGGCCATTGTGTAATAAAATTTGTCTAAATGCATTAAACAAAAAAATATTAATTCGTAATGAATTTCGTAAAAGGACTTCCAACTAATTTAAAACTATGAATTTCGTTTTGTTTATTTTTTAAAGTGTCAAGAAATATTTAATACAATAAATACTTTTAAGTTAACGCATATGTAACAAAAATCTCAATTTTATCATTATAGACGCATATGCGACTTTTTTTTTGGGGGGGGGGACATAATTCATTGTTAGTTTTGTTCGATTAAAACAAATATTCATAAAAAAAATTAAAAATGTGTTAAAAAATTTAAACTACTACTTTGAATTAAAATTATTAAACAAGCTATTATAAACAAACAAATAATTCGACTAGATAATTATATTTTAAAATATAGTTATTTTAAAATATAGTTATTTTCAAATTACATCTTTTGTAATCAATAAATGGTTAATCCATATTGTTTCACTGTGAAAAAAGAAGCTAAAATTACCAGAATATGTTTACATGTACAGTGTTATCTGGATATATGGTAACACCAAAAAGTAAGATAATTTTTATCATAGCACTGGTGATAGCTTATGTTGAAATTGCAAATTAAATATGGTTTTATTACAATGCTCTTTGGTGGTAAATTGAGTTTTAATAAACTACGCAACTGGAAAGTAAATTTGGTAAATTTACTATCTACTATAATGTCCACCAGTTTAGAGCCTCTAGAGCGAACGAAAAAATGCCACAGCAGGGCACATTTTATCCTGTTTATACAGCATAAAAATTATTTTTATCTATGAACACCAGTTCAAAATGTTTACTTCTTTTTGTAAATAAAGTTGATGATAGGTCAAATATATAAAGAAATCAAACTATTCCACTAAATTCACGCAGAGGCGGAAAAAAAGTTTTGTTAAAGTTACATTTCTGCTTGTGTTTAACTAGTTTTGACAAGAAATATTGAAAGACATAATGATTAGGTATGCTTTTATGACATATGAATGTGATGGGGATAGCCAAGATAATTTTTACTTAAATTCGAGTATAATAAGAACTATAATTTTTTAAACAAGAATTTTTGATAAACCATTACCATAACCAACAGAAAAATTATTAAATAAATAATTTAAATGCCGTAAATTTTGGTGTTTATTATCAGAATACTTTTTTTTTATTAAAAATGTCTTTTACAAATATGTTTTTTTACCAGAATTTTTTCATTGCATATATTTATTGTTTCGTGACTTTTTCTTGCGAAAATAGGTAATATTGAACAAGAGGCCTTATTAAGGGAAAATGAAAAGGATTCTTATACCAAATATCTATTTAAAAAAATTCTAAAATATAGCACTAAAAGGTGCATTTTGGAATAATTATAAAAAAATTATTTTGAATAATTATAAAAAAAAAACCTTTGAATAATAATGAAAAATATTTTCAATTATAACAATAATTACAAGCAACAAATCTATACATATTTGAAATCTTGTTCAGCTTATTTCCTACTTTTATAATTCAGGGAGTAATAGCTCAAATAAAAGGTGCAAATAGTTAGGCATTATATTTCTTGGCTTTAAAATTAAGTTAAATTTTTTATGTTAATTAATAAATTTCATTTGCAAGCGTATCAGAGTTATGAAAGACTTAAATTATCGTAATAACGACTAAAGGAATTTTTTTTATAGCTATAGAAAATAAATAAATTGTCCTTAAATATGGAGTTCTATTTAGAGCATAAACTTCTTACCTGAATAACATGATTTTTATTTTCAAACTCTGGGGGTAAAATGTGTAAACTGCACCAATATGTAGTTTCATTATTAGGCACTTGAACCTGAAATAAAATTAAAAAAAATCCCATAAGACTCTGAAAATTTTCAAACGTCAGAAAGTATTAAAAATCAGGTGTATTTTTTACAATGTAATTCATTGTGAATTTAATTTTACTAACCCATAAAAAGGTCTAAACTATTAATTTTATTTAATTCATCAAAAATAATAAATAAGAAAAAGAATTCCGTTCTCTATTATTTTTAATATACATATATATACTATGGGGTTAATATAGATATACTATGAGGTTAATATGCGAGAAGCAAATACGCAAATTATTTAATACTCAGTCTTCGAAACTATTTCTGATTAGTTTTTATTGGTGACAACTATTTAAGAAAAAAAACTTGATTCCGATAATAATTGTTCGTTTATTGTTTACCTTTGACTTACTTGTTATAGTTAATGTTTTTAAACTTTAAGTCACTGTCGAGATACAAAAATATAGAAGAAAAAAAAGAGAAAACTTCTAAAATGTAAAAAAAATTTTCGTATGAGAAAAAATATTTCGTGTTGTTTACAGATTTTAAATTGAAAGACTCGAAACAACTAGAACAGAACTTCACGAAAAGATATTTCTTCTGAGTAAAAAAAATAAATAAATAAAAAATAAAAATAAAAACGTAAAATGATGAATTCGTCAACATCGAATCTTATTACTCTAAAAAAGAAGTTTAGTTGATAGTTAAATTTGAAAGAAAAAAAAAACAGCAAAATGAAAGAATAAAAATATGAAAATTACCTTTGAATTATGAATTGTTATTGACTTCGTATCTGCAAGAAATCTTGGATCTGGAACCAAATTTTTAAGAAGTTGTACCCTTTGAAAGCCGTGTATTTCTTTGGATAAATTAATATCCTCAAGTCGTCGAAGAGGTCCTTTTCCCATGGCATACACTATATGGGTTGTTCCTTCCTAATAAAAAAAAAACACATTTTGTAAAATAATTTTTGATGAATGCTGAGAATAAGAATAAATGTAACACAAAAGACAAATCTAAAATAAAATAGTTGTATTTTAATAAAAAGTTATACAAAATATACGATAAAATTCAGTAGTTTTCAGTGTTTTTTCGAGACAATAATGACCAGAAAACTAATTTTGTCAGCCATTCTATGTATAAGGCGAAATATAATATCATATAATCATTAAGATTACTGAAAAGATTCTAAATTCCTATTTTATGGTTTAAATCCTTCTCACCAGAATTCAAGATTCTGGTGAGGATTCAAGAAAAAAATCTTTCTTCGCTACTATGTATGGTGCATACTTCTCGAAGGTTGCAGTAATACGGCGATTTACGGCACCCAAATCATTGTATTAACTATCCGAAATTGTTTCTAATGTTGGATAACAAGATGATAAGAAATGCTAGCACAACTAAAAACATGTTTACGTATTCGTCGATTCGTAATGTGAAACATAATTACTTATTTTCTACACGGCATATCATTAATGATAAATTAAGAAAATACTATATTTGCACTTGAAATAAAAATGTGTAGGATGATTGTTAGAAGATAGTCACGGTAAAAAATTTTCTTAAAACTTAAAAAAAATCAGTAGCACATTTTTTCATTATAATATGTGTATTTTTTTAAAATAGGGTATGTCAAGGTTAGATGACCATAGAGGAGAGATGGTCAGCTTACATATCCCTAATATTTATAAGTAGATGACAACAGATGCAACTGTATAGGAAGCATTTCAACTTGTTTATGAATTCGGATGAAGCATCATTTTTCATGACAAAAAAAGTAAAATTTCAATGTTTATTTTATCTAGGAGCAAATATTTTTCTTGTGTTTAGTGCTTTATTATTTTTCAATACGTTGGTAATGTTTTTAGGAGTGACTGAACATTTAAATCCTTTTGTTCAATCTTTGTCCTTGAGTAAAAATCAAAGGCATATGATGGTGGAGTGTCGCCTTGAGTTCGGTGGCCATCTCACCTTCAACTTTAGGCGAGATAGTCACATAAAATCGAGGTAAGATGACCACTTTTCCTTAATGTGCATCGACATATATCTGTTTATTTTTCTTCATATTTAAAATAAGCACAAGTCTAAAAGATTGTATTAAGCAAACAGAAAAAAAATTAGAACATTTTTTGAATGCAGAAATAATGTAAGGAAAATAGTAATAATATAACTTAATGCAGCGTTTTTCTTTTACTTTTCAAGATGTCGAATAAATACATGAGAAAATAATTCAACGCAAGATTTTAGAGGGTTGTTTGAAAACCAATAATTTTAAATAAGATTTAATGAACCTTGGCCCAACGCTTAGAAAAAACGAAGTTAAATTAGTGAAGCTCATTAAACGAACGCAGAAACAAGGAAACAAGCCAATTTCTCGAGATGATATGAGAATTTTAGCCTAAGAATTCGCTTTAAAAAATACTCGATGTGTAAAGTATCGTTTTAATGATGCAAATAAAAAAGCCAGATAAAATTTAGCTAAGCGCATTCCTGAGACGCTATTCTGATAAAGCGTGAAGGTATATCGCTTGCATGAAATGAAGTGAGGTTATGAAAGACTTCTTCAAATTACTCCATAACACTCTGAAAGAAAAATGAGTTGGCAGATTCTCGAACATATTAATATGGATGAAACAGTAATGCAGTTCAACAATCGACTTGTCTTCACTTGTGTCGATAAGAGCGGAGAAGTTTCTAATAATAACATCTTCTGAAAAAGGTGAAACCATCATTACTGCCATATACTGCAATAACAATACAGAAGAAGTTTTCCTCCCACCAGTTTGTGAGAGATAACGCAAAAATAAAAAGATGGAATACCAACTGGATCACTTGTATAAGACAAGGACTAACATAAGTGTGGCCTCTCATCTGGATCACAAATTCCAGAAGCAATTTACTTAATAGGCAAATCCAGGAAAAACAATTTTGAGCTTATATCAGAACTTTTAATCAGAGCATTATTTTAATATATACGTTTCTAAAATTGCCTGCTTCTGACATCATTCAGAGATGGACGTGCCTTGCGAATTCTCCGAGCCGGGGGGGTTCCCGGCAGCCAGTCGTCACCTCCTCACGTTAGCCTCGATGATGATTCCTCCTTCCCTTCGTGAGCATCTAATGCAAGCCTGATGACTGCAGTACTTTTGCGACGTCGATCACTGATCAATGTTTTAAAGACAACATCAAGATGAAATAGTTTCCAGATCCAGTCAACGTTAAAACACCGTGTAAGCGACCGTAGTAAATTGTCTAGTAGACCAAAGAACGCAATGATTGCATTGACCTTCCGTTAGTAGCATCTAGGACCTGTCCGATCAAACTGTAATGGCGGCCATTTGTGTTTGAAACCGACTGGTCAAAGCATGTTTTGCAAGTAGGGGTCAAATTTTACAAATTCTACTATCCTTCGGGTCCATCGGGTTTAGTTACTAGCGGAGGCTGGTGATGCCAATTATCTAATCGCGATAAGTCATCTTAAAAACAACGAGATGTTTTCTTCAAGCAAAGCACAGTGGACTTCATTTTTGTTGATTACTCTCAACTCGTTTTCAAGTCACCTCACAGCTATTCCTCACCATGGCAATGAGTCATTTTACTCCCCACCTCATCCCTAGCTTTATGTGACCACAGGGCTTCACCTCATCGAACCTCATCTCATGATGAAGGGGTAAAAGGCTATCTCGGCCTCAGGCACCCCGACCAACCTCCAAGCCAAGCCAAGCCTGCTTCTGACAAACTCCAATGCAAAAATATACAGTACAAGAAACTAAATTTACTATAAGTAACTTGGAAGCGTCTGCAACAAAATCAAATAAGAATGCTGACACCGAAATGGGTCATTTGGAGTACCAATCGAGCTCAGCAAAAATTTATAATACACATACATCTTCAAAAGTACTTCGCGATATTACACCATTTCTTGATGTTACTGTATCAAAAACAGTTTAAAATTGTGCTAAAAATTCATCTTTGGATTTAGTGTCAACAGAAAATATTAAACAACGAAGGAAACTATCATCCTAGAAACCGAAAAATGGAAAAGCAAGTAAAAAAACTCATAAAAAAGAGCCTAAATTAACCTTGATGGAAAAAAAAAAGCAAGACACTTCCATCAGCGAAGAAGATGAAATAGATTTCAAATTATTCTATTCAATGGACTCGAAATTTTTAGATCACTTTGTTTGCTCAAGAGAAGAGTACAATATCCCAGCTAAATAGGATGACTGGATAAGATGAGTAAAACAAACTTTGAAAATTTAGCCAAAAATGTTGTAAATTTTTTTTTTGAATGTTAAGGATTAAAACTGTTTATTAAATTTTACTTGTTGGACTCATTTTACTTTTTCCATTACATAATTCATTCTATACAATTTAAAATAAGTTATTCATGGTGAATCGAGTGTAATGCGATATTTACCATGTTTTAAATCCCCTTTTATTCCTGAATTTGATGGTCAACTCTCCGATTTACTTAATAGAGATGGCCATTTACAAGTTTATTTTCACAAAATTTTTTTTATATTTTGTTTTCAATTTGTATTATTCTTTGCTCAAAATATGTTGTGAGCAAGCATAAGAATTTAAAACTATGCAATACCCCTATACAATATCCTGTTTAAAACTTTACAATAGTTAGTAAAATCAAGGATTGAGATACAAGAAATGTTTATGCATTTCTTGTATCTCAATCCTTGATATTTCTGTTTCGTTTTGAAAAATCTATGGCCATCTATTCAAAGCTTACCCTAGTATACAAAGAAATTTAACTTACGTATCAAACAAATAGCGATATAAAAGTAGTTTTGATAGCCTTTTGTGCGCAAAGTCATTGTTACGTTTTTAAGTGCCCTGATTGTGCTGCCAGTTTGAGCACAACTCTCGCTTTTGGTTGAAAAAGACAGCTTGTGAGTGCCATCATAGGTCCAATCTCAGATCACTCGTGTTTATACATTAAAGTGCACTTAAAAGATGCCACAAGGAATAAAAAGAAATGTATTGGTGATAGCTTAAAATGATTACAAACGATATCGAGATAGTTATAGAAAAATTAGGAAATATAAAAATAAAAAGCAATGGACAAGTTTAAGTAAAAAAGTGTTGAAATAGGAAAATAAGAGAAAGTCTTCCCTTTCCTGAAATTACATTATAATGGCGAAAAAAAGTCTAATGCTAATGCTGAATGATAAAACATGGATGTTTAATTATTACGGTGCTCCACAGTTTAAATATAATGTTACACAGTCAAAATATAAAATTTAAAACAGATCAATAATTGAATTAGCATTTTATCTTGACCCCATGGTAAAATAATAAAAAGCATATTTATTGCCATATAGTTATTGATTATTTATATTACTGTTATCTTTTGAAGAAAAAGATAAAAATTTTTATGTTACACCAAATTCATAGACGGGCAAAACAAAAAGTTACTTCAATACAGTATTGAAATATAGTATTTAAATATAATAGTGAGTTTTTATCCTACTGTTATCGTTTGAAGGAAACAGTTAAACTTTATATATTTATCGCATCAAATTTATAAAAGGACAAAATCAATAGTTACTTCAATAAAGTAATCCTGATTGTCGCAAGTATCAAACCTTCTAGACCAAGCATATCTTGTAGTAAGTCCTCGTCTCTTCAAACTCAGTAAATGGCAGTCGTTGTGATCATCGATAGCTACATATCCACCATCATCAGTATAAGTATCCTGCAATCATGTCACACTTTTAATACACATTTTTACTCTATCTTAGTTTTAATTTCATTAAAATTAGTAAAACGTGCTTAAATTATAGATTTTTTTGAAACTTTTAAATTTTGAGATTTCCTCCACAATACTGAAGTTATATCAATGATAACAGCAGCAAAAAATGTTGATACCGTAAAACAAGGAAAAAATAGAAATTAAACTCCCTTACTCTCATGCGAGCACTCGCATTTAGATATACAAGTATAAACATTTATTTACACTATTTATTTGTTTTTATGCATTATTTCCAGGATTTTGCATGATGTTATTAACCACCTACCAACACAATCTTTTTAAACGACGTTCATTTCTAAAAGGTTAGTTTTTTTTGTATGCATTTCAATAAATAAATAAAAAATTTAAATAAAATTCGACTTCAATCTCCTTTTCAACCTCTCCTACTGCTTTTTAAAAATTATTCAAATTAATTGCTTTAGGTAAATTAATTTTAAAAAGAAGAAAACTCTTTTCGAATTTTCTGATATTTTTTTTAAATCCTAGTTAAATTTGAGGAAAAAAAACAATAATAACTTTATTTTTAAACAAAAATCTAAACCCTCAGCAGTGTCTTACTTTAGAAATATAAACTTCGAATGTTCTTTGGAGACATAAACCGATTTGAATTTAGTTCAACTTTTACGCTATGACGTCAAAGCTCTTTTCGAATTTTCTGATTTTTTTTTAAAATCCTTCCTAAATTTGAAGAGAAAAAACAATAATAACTTTATTTTAAAAAGAATTTAAACCCTCAGCAGTGTCTTACTTTAGAAATATAAACTTCGAATTTTCTTTGGAAATATAAACCAATTTGAACTTAGTCCAACTTTTACGTTAGGACGTCTAGCATTTTTTACTAAATAGTTCAATAACTACCGAAAAGCTCATGGACATTAAGATTTTACAAAGAATTTGAATCTCTTGTGGCGTTTTTTGAATCTCAAGTATTTTTGTTCGCAACGATTTTGATTTAATATATGAAAACAAAATGTTGTTTAATTTTTTATTCAAAAGAATTATAAAAAAACCACTTCACAATATCACCACAGTGGAGTTACTTAAAATAACCATAAACTAACTGTGTGATTAACAAAAGAGCAATCCCTAGCTTTTAACCGATGTTAAACAACCAGATTAAGACAATAAAAAAATGAAATAAAAACCCTACCTTTTTTATTCAACGTTTCGTGTTAACTCGTAAACGCTTATTTATTCGTATGTTATAGGAAAATGCCTCGAAGTTTCTAGACAACAGATATTTTTTGGAGCTGAATTCTGACCAAAAAATTAAAAAGATTGTTTTATTTTCAATCTCCTTTGAAAATAAAATTTGAATCGATTACTGAATTATTTATGATTTTCCAAGATTTTAGAAATTGGATTTAACTTTTTATATGATATTATTTCTGTTTTTAATGTTGTTTTAGAGGATCTGCAAGAGATTATAATTATAAAGCGCATTCACAGGTTTAAATAAAATTTACGATATTTTTTTTTCTATAACTAAGGAAAGTAATGAAGTAGATTCCGTTTACAGTTGAAATTTCAAAAATTGAATGATCCCTAGCCTCAGGAATCAAAGTTAAATAGTTACAAGAACAAATATTTCGAACAATTTAACGTCTCGTCTTACTCGAAATAGTTTGAAAAAATACTTTTTTTAGTTATCTCTTCCAAAATGCCTTCTAGATACATTTTAGGGTATACTTTAGGCGTACTTCGATAGAGTTTATTTTTTACATTCTTTATTTGTCTCTTATAAAATTAAAATTATTCAAACTATATGATTTAATGCATCCATGATAGGTTAATGGGACAAAATAGGGATCGGGTAATAATAGAGGTGGGGTAATAATAGGGATAATAAATAAGGCTTTCAAACGCTACTTCTACGTTGCAAGTGGAAATCTCGGTGTGTGTAGCGAGAGGATTAAATCTATTAGCTGAACATACCTTTTACAGCTATAAAATATTAATTCGTAACCTAAAAATGTGTTACATCTTATTTTAGTAAGAAAAAGAACTAGTTTTTTGACAATTTATCTTTTTAGTAGTTGCTATTTAACAAAATAAAGCATATCGAGGTATCATTTTCCTGATAACGAACTATACTATAATAATATCTTGTGATTTGTGCTTAAGTTGGAAACGAATTTTAACAAAATTTTTAAACTACATTTATCAACGTCATCTTTTTTTTTACCTTTTTTAAATGAGCAGCTTCCTTAAAGTTATCTGTGAAATATGTTTAAACATTAAAATAAAATTGTCATTCAAGTTTGTTCATTTAAAAAACAAAGCAAAATATTGTAGTTTTTGGAGTTGCACTAAAATGATAATATGTATATAATTATCATATTTCAAATAAATAAGAAACAAGGAATAAATAATAAAAAAAATGTTTGCTCATTCTTCGAGAAAAAGGGCACACTTAATTAATACGATCAGTTTCACGTTGAATAATTTTAAAATAACAAAATGTTTTTAATTTCATAACAAGGTTTAATTCTCAGCTAACCGGCTATAGTTCTAAGATTTTTTTATCAAATAAAAATCTTGACAATCCTTTTGAACGAATGTTTCAATTTTAAAAAAAATTTAAAGTATTAATAAAAAGATACAACTTAATTCTAAAATAAGGGCGTTAAGGACGATATATTTGGAGCTGAGATATTTTAAGACGTTTAACAAATTTGGCTACATATTCAACAAATCTATGCGTTTGATAACTCCATACCCTTTGTGGTGGCTTAAAATGTACATAATACCATTTCATATAACCATTGTTGATGTTACAAAAGTTTGATTCAAGAAGACTTGATATATTTTACATAACTAGTATATTTATTTTAGTTTTAATTGTTTAGCTATTAAAATATGTATTGAATAATTGATAAATATATTGCTCCAAGTATATGCATATTTATGCGCATTACTGAAATTGAATAAACGATGGGATGAATAGATAAAAAATAAAATGAAACAAAAAACAATATTTTATTTAAATCTCTTAACTGAATAAAGTAAAAATTAGTAGACGACTTACAAAAGGAACACTGTATTTAATAACCAAAAAAAAAAACAACAACAAAAAAACGATTAATTATTGATTAACAATGAAAAATCATGACTGAAATTTTATGCTACTTTTGCGTAAGACAAGTTTCTTGTAAAATTACCGCATTTAGATTTAATTTCTCAATTTATATAATTTTTCCATTGCCACCAAATTTTTCTTTAAGAAATAATAATTTTAATTTTCCTCGTCTTCCAATTAATAAAAACTAGTTAAACTTTAGATTTCTTTATAGAAAATTACGTACGTTAAAGGTACAAAAAAATTTATTCCTCAAAATTCAAAATTTTTTTAAATTAAATAAAAAAAAAATAATAAACAATTATTTTTTGTTCAAAACTATATTTACTTTCATCCACTCTTCTACAAGGGACAAATTTCCAGATTACGGCCTTTCAAGGTTCAAAAATCTAATATGCAAAAAAAAAAAAATTATGTTTATTGAGATAAAGTATGTTTCCGCTCGATTTCGTAACTTAATTAATAGTTAGTACTAACCAATTAGCATATTTGAGGTCACCTCTGCGAACAGTCAAGATTGAAAATTAGTTCATGAAAATCCGATCATTAGAACAAAAGTTATTCAGGGAGGATTTTTTTTTGTGCCCTGTACACTAACAGCAGCAAATATGATTCGGTTTTTTATTGAGAAAAAATGATTTTATCTTATGTTTATTTGAACAAAGAGTTAGGAAAATTTTTTTTAACTCTTAATGTATTTAGCAATATTTGAAAGCTATATATTTTCACACCTACACCAAAATACAAAAAAAGAGTCTTTTAAGGCAACAAAATTTGCTTCCGATTCAAATATTTTAATATAAATAAAACGCGTTTCATTTGTAAAGAATTTCAACTAATTTATGTTTTAAGATGTAGATCCTGAAATAATAAATAATTTAAGTTTTCTCTTCATGTAGTAAGCATAAATTTGTAATACTTATTTAACAATGATAATTAATAAATAATGTTATTTTAACTTGTAATATCAAATATAATAATTAGGAATTATAAAAACCGCCTTTTAATGTCTTATGTCCAAATAAGATAGTAATATACTACTTTCATAGCATATTTAAAATGGCGATTTATTTAAATGGTTGAGAGGATTTAGGTGACAGTTAATTATTTATTTTCCTAATCTATTTCTTGATCAGAGAGAAAATGGCCCTAAATAATGCTTATAAGCATTTTAAAAATACTATACTCGGATATATCAAGCTATGGTGTCTGTTTTATGCATCTTTTATGAGGATAGTGGGTTTTATTTATTTATTCACTCACAAACTGGGCTTCTTTGCAAATTCAAAGAATAGCTAAAAACTCTTTCCAAATTGAAAAACAGATAGCACAAGTTTAAGAAAGACAGCGAAATATACATCCTATGTTATAGTGGGATTCAATCCCACTACATTTACACTTCAAAGGGTTTAGCAGAACGGTGATATGGTCCCTAGAATTTATTGCAAGTAAAACAACCAAACATTGTTGATGCTTCTGATTCCAAGGGGTATTGTCCTTTTACCAATAGAGCCTGTATATGTTTCTGAACAAAAATTATTTATTTAATGTTACACATCTAGGGTTATAGTGAGATTCAAATCCGCTACCTCCATTTTATATAGCATTTGACAGAAATGTGGGATTGCTTGACCAGGGAGTCAGCTGTAAAACGAATGATTTAAGAAAATGAACATTACTATTCCAAGTATTCAGCAAATATTTTGATTTTTGTTCTCAAATTTTTTTTATTAAATCTTCATCTTACTTCGAATGTTTATCCTACTTTGAATTTTATTTCAAGTGCACTAAAAAATCGTAGATTTTTTTCGCCATGTGCAGGGCACAAAAAAGAAACAGACCACTTTGAATAGCTTTTGATGTAAGGATCGGATCTTCACGTTCTAGGAATCAATCTCAATGGTTCGAGGAGGTGACGTCAAATACGCTAATTAATAAGTGCAGACGGTATTTTAAGTTACGAAATCAGACACAAAAACGTACTTTCTCTGAATCAACATATCTTTTTATCGACGGATTCGTATTTCTGATCCCCAAAACATTGAGATCAGCCGGAATTTAAGAAGTATGGTTCTCATAGTTTGATCAGGAGAGCCATCCAAAGTTTAGACCCCTTAATGTTAATTTTACTTTTTTGTGTATTTCGCCATATCTGTACAATATTTTAAGCGAAATGAAAACATTTTGCACTCAATTATAACATTCATTTGTCCAAAGATAATTCAATGCAAAAAATAACTTTTAGCAAATATTTATTATTTTTTTTATTTAAGAACAGTTGAAAAAATTTTGAATAATAAGGTATACAATTTTTTCATATTATCATAAAGAATGCAATTTTATAAGGCAAAGAAACAAAAGTTTGATGGAAATTGGTCATATAGTTCCTAAGAAAAGCCATTTTTTTAAAAAATCGTTCATTTAAAATTCGATTCTTCAGGAATTATTCGACCGATTTCGCTCAATAATTTGCCATGTAAAGCAATTTAATTACATTCTTTAAAATGATGTCAAAATTTGTATGACTTACAATTCAAAATTTTTTCGTTTATTATTAAAAAGATAATAATATTAAATATTGGGAGTACAAATTAGTTCGGTCATTTTTTTATGGTCAAAAAGGCATTTATTTCAGAACAAAATGAATGAACAGATTAATCAAAGTACTGTCCCTCGCTGTCTACTACTTTTTCCCCCCTCTCAGGCAATTTTTGAATTCCCTCTCGAAAAATTGTCTCGTCTTTTGAGGTAATCCAAGTTAGGAGCCGATTTTCGATTTCTGCGAAAAAAGTGAACCTGTGACGTACCAAATCATGCTGCATCCGTCGGAACAACCAGTAATCAGAAGGAACAACGTCCGGCGAATACGGCGGGTGCCGTAAAATATCCCACTTCAGCGTTTCCAAATAATTTTTACGGCTTTTGCGACATGAGACCGACCGTTATCATGCAGAAGAATAACTTTGTCATATCTTTGCTCGCATTGCGGCCTCTTTCTCGTAATGCATGGCTCAAATGAATCAATTGTAGCCGATGCCGATTGCCAGGTTGTAGCAGCTCATAGTATACAACACCATTCACCATTGACCATTCTTGAAACGTCGAAACCATTCCTTACATGATTCATCAGTTAGAGCAAACTTCTGCAAGCATTCGATGCACTTCAGCTGCACTTTACTTCCAATTAAAGCACAAACATAAAAACTCCTGCAAATGCTGCTTAGTTACCACAAAATGTGACATATTCAACAAGGTAAAAAACAGGGTTTTTGTATGAAACTCAAGGCGATATAAACTGAATATTATTGACAGATGTCTAACCTTCTTGAANAAATATAATATTATTAAATATATTATTAAATAAAATAATAATAAATAACTGAAAAATAATAAATATTTATTTAAAGTTATTTTTTGTATGGAATTATCTTTGGATAAACGGATTTTATAATTGTGTGCAAAGATGTTTCAGTTCACTTTAAAAGTACTCGAGATATCGCTAAATACGCGAAGAAAAGTAAAATAAACAAACAGGGTACAGACTTAGGATTCGCTCTCCTCATCAAACTATGGGGACCATATCTCCCAGATTACAGATACCCCCTATATTTTTGGGGGTGAGAAATCCAAATTATTAAAAAGGTATACTTGTTCAGAGAAAGTGCGTTTTAATGTCTGATTTTTGAACTTATAATATCGTCTGCACTAATTAGTTAGCATATTTGAAGTAGCACCCTCGAATCATTAAGATTGAGTCCCAGAATGTGAAGATCCGATCATTAGATCGAAAGTTATTCAGAATAGTTCGTTTATTATTTTTTTTCGCACTATACTTGATCTGTTCTATTTATTTTTAATCAATATTTTCGCCTTAAATAATTGTTGATGACAGCCGAAACAAAATTGAAAAAGAATTATGTATGGAAAGAAATTATATAGTTTAGCCCTAATCTTTATATACAGGAGAGGGCTTGCTACACTTTCGGTTCTAGTGCTATTTAAATTTGCTAGATTGCTTACAATCAAAACGCATTAAGAAATTTAAATTGCCTGGTTCTTGCACATAGCCCCTCATTACAATTATAGGTCTATAAAAAATATTAAGCAATGATAGTTCAAGTTCGATGAAAAGATTTTTATTCGTTTCTACTTGTTTTCAAAATTGAAATTTTAAGTTTTAAAAAGAGGTGAGTCTGTAGCTCTACAGTCAGATATGCCTGTAAAGTGTGAGTTGGAAAGACAAAACTCATAAAATAAGCGGGAACGATCCTAAGAACAAGAAGTTTTCTAAACGAAAAAAAGAAAAAACTTATTCAAAATTATGACTTGCTGATACGTCAACAATAAATTTACTCAATGATATTATTGGAAGAAAAATTGATATAAAAATAAATAAATAAATCACGTGAAATATAAAAATAAATAAATAAATCACGTGAAGTAAACTAAAAGTTCTGAGATTTAAATGTAGAAATTTCATAGTATGATAAATGAATGATAATGAATAATAATTTTGAGGAAAAAAAATTAACATTGAGTGCTGCCCTAAAAAAATAGTTCAGTATAAAAAAAAAGGTATAAATAACTTATTTTTTTATATACTATTAAACTTTATTTTAAACTCCTATAATTCACAATATCAAACCGCGAGTAATACTTTTCGAAATACACGAAATAAGATATTGTGTAAAATAAATTTATTATTATTATTGTTATGAGCTAATTCAAATAATTTTAGTATTTTTTTGTGCAAAAGACCAAAGTATTTATGAACAAACAATCTCAAATCTTTTTGCACAGTTTTGAATGATAATATCTATTTTTTTTATAAAAACTTTATCGGATTTTACCCTTATCTTTGGCTACTTAAAAATTCATTATATGTAGCAAAATCTACAAGAGTAGACTTTTGCCCAATTACTTTTTTTGAGCAAATAATTAAAGAACAAAGAAATAATCATGAAATAATGAGCTAGCTAAACCTAATAGCTTTTTTTTTGCATAAAAGATTAATTTGTCTGTCCGATTGACAAAAAATTAGGGGAATTCTGTTCTACAACACAATATGGCTGGGTTAGGAGAATTGAAATAGGAGAAATAATTTGAAATGGACAGAGAGCTAGTTGTGGTAATCTAAAGTATCAAATAGAGCAGCGAAAATAACAGTAGAAATGGAAAAAATATTCAGAATAGTAACATACAAAAACAATTTCAATGGTCCCAGAAATGTGTTTAATTAATTTCATAAAGAGTGACCGTTTTTCTGCAACCTCAATTAAATTATATTCCTTTACTTTCTGAAATATCTTGTAAACACGGCAAGAACGTTCAAAATGATTTCAATTTCTACGACGCATGCCAAATTGTGCTGCCATCTATTTATTAGAAAGCAAACTAATATATTAAAAATCAAAGGCTAAACGAAATTGTATAAGAAAGCCATGATTACATTTTGACCCACTTTTAAGACTGCTCAACATATAATTTATGAATCTTCATTGTGTTTTTATATCATTTACACCGTCTGTGACACATAAATGAAGTTTACATTATTTATTCTGAAGATTTCGCTTTACTATTCTAATTATTACTATAATTATTATTGCATCTGCTTTTGGGAGGCTTCAAAAAACGACACATGCAACCAAGATAAAATAATTCAAAGAAAATCTTTTAAGAACTTAATCACAACGTTTAATTGCCAAGTTTATACCCTGAAGCATTTTTGAAAGCCAATAGAATAACGTTATTTTATTTATTTATTTTTTTGGATGGGGAAGGAATAAAGAATGCTTTAAAAAGATAAATAGAACCTTTTTTGCTTTATGGGTAGAATCTAGATCTATAATTCTGCTGTTTGGAATTTAAGAAAATTGTTTTCATAGAAACTTTAAACCATAGCAAAAAAAATCTTCTCATTAAATAAATGTAAAACAATATTTATTCATTACTTGGACAACTTGAATGTAGATATAGACCAGTTAAAAATTTTATTCATACCTGCATTATTTATTCTCTCTTTCGATAAATACTGAATGAAAATACGGAACATATTGGCATAAATAATTATTAAAATGGAATACTAAGTTAATATTTTATTGATATTTTCAATGACACAAGAAAAAAAGCATAATTAATTAATGTTCATTATGTTCGATAAGCACTGGAGCAAAATATAATATTTTCTGTCGTCGTTATAAAACTCAATAGTGCTATTTTTTAATGCTTTAAAAACATTTTGGAAAAAGAAGTTTAGTAATTCTAAAGAAAGACTCAGATTCATAGAAGCTTTCACATTTTATTTTCTTCGTTTATATAGAGTTGAATTTATTTGCTTGAAAATAGCATAAATCTCTTCATCGCTTATTGAAATCGAGGATTTAAAAATTTTGAAAAAGAGGCATTTCAATCCCCTAGTTAACTCCTTTATATATCTTATAATCTACGCAAAGACTTTTTACTACTATAAATGTATGTTTAAATTTTTTCAAAATACATTTTTGAAAAATATTTATAAGTTTTAACAGGAATTTCATAAATTAAAAAAATTATACTCATTTAATATTATTTATTATTTTTTATCTTCACTCTTAGGTTAACATTTATTTCAGCTATTGAAAGCCGATTTTAGTTTGTGTTCATTGCTCCAGGTATTGAAACTTTATTTACAGTAACTGGTACTATAAAGAATAACTATAATATTGAACAAAAAAAAAAAAACNTTGACATTAGCAGAAAAAATGTCAAATCTACCTGAAATCTGTTCTTTCTTTTTTTGCTTGTCCACAAGATACACAAATCCGCATTTGTTATCTCTCCTCTGTCAGAAAAACCAATTCCTATCCAATCATGGTTTGACGCCCGAGCTCGAACTTCAAATGTAACAGTTTCTTCGTCATAATCAACTATCCAATAAAGGTATAATTTACCATCCTGGTCTAAAGGTGTCTCAAAATAAAGTAAAGAATCTTTTTCTTGACGGTTTGCATCAGCAACAATTGTAAAAAGGAGGAATATCCACCACTGAAGACACATTGCTGAATGTTCTGCAATATCAGGTCCTTTTAGCAAAGGATGAGAGGAAGAAAGGAGGCATGCCCATCGACGTCAGCGAATCTTAATGAAATATTTCACATAACTCGCAGCTGGATTCCTGGAGATATTAAAACTCGGAAGCGAGTTTATGAAGGGCACATCATTTTTAAATGGAGACGAACAAGGGAAAGATATGCGTTAATAACGGAGAGTCTTTTCCAACCAGAAAAATCCAATATCGTTTATGGGTATTTATCATTGATGGGGATTGCCTCCTTTAGCTTCTGACGAGGCAAAAATATTTATCATCAAATATGAAGCTATAAATAAAATAAAAATCCAAGTAATTGATGAGAGGTGAGAATTTAAAGCGATTTATGTAGTCTGGATCTTCATTAGAATAGACTATGCAGAGCGCTAAAATTAATAGTAATTCTGAACACAAATAAATTTCTTTGAATTTAAACAACTGTTAATTAACTTCCAAGAAAAAATGAATTTAGTTGAAAACTTTCATTTTCATACTTTATCATTCGAGGAATTTGAAATAAAATGTTTATTTGATAGTCCTGTTCTAGAAAAAAAAATAATATAATAAATAGTTGATTGCTCTATAAATGATTAAAAAGCTTTTGTACAGTTTTGTACATGTATTAGATACATGAAAATAAACAAGGATAAAAAAATATATATATTTTAACTATTTTTTTAATACTGTTTACACATTTTTGCCTTTTTCCAGTCTTTTGAGACAAGTTTAAAACAGAAAATTACAAACTGAGAACTGGATAAGAACAATAGAATGGTTAGAAAAAAGAATTTTGAAACATGTTTAAGAGGAATCGATAGGGCAATATATCATTAATGCTAAAACTGACCTTTTTCGATGTATCTTTTCTAAGAAACTACTTATGATATCACTTTGATATTTTTGAGGGGTATTTGAGACTATATCAGTTGTATACTGTGATCATGAAGCGTTAACAGGAATGCTTTTTGTCATGAAAGATTTTCGCTCAAAAATTATTAAACTTTTTAAAAAATTAAAAGCTCTTATTTCATAATTTTTCAAAGAAATTTCTGCCAAAGATATTTATTAACAGTTATCACAGTGTAAACATGTACGTGTAAATATTCTGTGGAAAAAAAACTAAAGCAATGTCTTATTTAGATGCTGAGAAAAGGTACATCGAAAAAAGTCTGTTTCAGCATTATTTGTACACTACCAACTCTCCTTAAACTATCGTTTCAAAATATACTATCGAACTTGTTTTTTCTAACCCTGACTTAACAAGAATCCTGGTTTAACGAGGAAACTTTATGTAAACAGTTTATTTAGTTTTTAAATAAAAAAAAACTTAAATTAAATTCTGTTCATAAGAGGTTAATATGTAATTTTTCATAAGCATAGGAAAAATTATCATATTCAAGTTATTAGAAAAGGAGAAAATAGCAATGGAGAGTAGCAGTGTGAGGTTCTTCATCTGTTTTGCCATGAATAATGAAGCTATAACATAATGACAAAATAGATGATTAAGATATTGTTAATAGTGACTAACCTAACTAAAGATTAAGCGTGACAATGACTAACCATAACTTTTATTTCCCTATGCAAACCATTAAATAAGATTAACCTCTTTTTGCTTTAATTTTCTGTTAGTTTGATTATATTTTCCTGACCAAATATTTGTGCATCATGTGTCATATCTGTTCTACATAAGCAAGACACAATTTTGATGCTGGGTAAATGTAAATTTTAATCATCAAAAAAATCGAAATTTTAAGATAGTTGGATAACGATGTGAAAATTTTGATTTTGTAGAGAGTATAATTGAATTCCCTCTATAATTTTCATACTCTTGAAATAAAGAGACATTTCTGGAAACTTTTAATCATCAAAATATTAGAGGACAGGAAAATCATCAAAATATAAGAAGACTTTGTAGAGAGTATAATTGAATTTGCTCTATAATTTTCATACTTTGAAATAAGGAGACACATTTCGGGAAACTTTTAATCATCAAAATATAAGAAGACAAATTTTGAAGAAGTGTGCGATAGAAGACGAGGACAGAACTTTAATAAGCCGAGATATTTTTTTTTCTATCTTTAAGGCAGTATTGTTTTCGCCATGAATGGATCATTAAAATGTTAATTGCAATGCATTTAGTGCCACAAGTGTTATATGAGAAAGATATCAACTTAAAACTTTTATTATGATGATTGAAATTTCAATCACAATATGTGTGCGTCAATCTTTATGGTTCGAAGGAGTCACCTAAAATGTGCTAATTAATTTGTAGGATAATTCGATATTATCCTTTTTTTAAAAAATCGAAATAGCGCGTCGTCAGAGAAGTTGCGTATTGGTAACCAAATGCTTGCAAGAGAATTTTTTTTAAATAAAAAATGCAGTTAGGCCTCCACCAGGGCTTTAAAATTTCTCTAATTTCATAAAAAAATATTTTTTATTATTTTTTTAAAATTTTTTATGTATTAAAATTTTTAACCGCCGGCTGTTAAAGTAGTTGCAAAGTAATAAGACTCTTTTTTGAGAAAAAAAAATTATTATATCATATTGTATTTAGCGCCTACCTGGTGGAGGTGGTGAATACAATATGATATAACAATTTTTTCTAATAAATAAAATTTCATATAAAAATTAATAATTTCATAATTAAAAATAATTAAAAATTAATTTTTTAAAATTTCATAAGAAAAATTACAAATAATGCTAACGTCAAAGGCCTGGTGCCTTTGACATTAGCATTATTTGTAATTTTTTTTGTTGATATTTCTGCTTTATTTTGAATAGATGGGTGGTGCAATTACGCAGAATAGTTGATTTTCCTATTGGAGATATATTTCCGATCCTTTAAGGAAATAGAACATTTAAGCAAGTTTTATAAATTGTGCATGATTCCTTAATTTTTAAGACAACATTTTTGAAAGTCAAAAAATAATTTTTTATCGATATTTACATACTTCCTCCCACCTTGCTTTTGAACAATTAGAGCAATGATATATTTTTATTTTTTGAAGAAGTTGCAAATTCATCCAATGATAATGGCGAATTAAAGATTGAAATTAACATTTGAAAACGTTAAAAAATACATTCATTCAGTTGCTGATGATAAAAATATATTTTTTCTGATACATACGGAATAGCTATTCTATGTTACTTAAACTATTTATTTTTTAAAAAAAAATATGTTTTGATTTTACCAAAGAATAAGGAAATAAAGAACAGATAGTAACTTGATGTATGTGTAGTTAGTTAACTGACTAAAATGAAGTTTCATGGCATTAAGTTGATCCTTAAAAAACAGTTTCAACTCCTCCGAATGAATCTGTCAGAACAGCAATGTTTGAAATACTGTGGTCACTCAACAGAAACAATTTTTTTTAAAAATACTCGAATTTCAATTAATTTGAAATCTTAACAGTTAAATGTAATAAGTTTTAGTGCGAGAAGAAATTTTTTTTTAATCTATGTGCTTACTTTTCACGGAATTAAGTGAGATATGAGATAATGACGCCATTCATTTAAATCACACCCTTTCCTCAAATCAACCTGGTCTTGTCATTTACTCTAGCGAATTAGAACAACACAGAATTAGAAACAATAGATCAGAACAGAAGGGTTTGATGTTACTTTGTTTTACTTACTTTGTTAGGGTTTGATACTTTGTTTTAGGGTTTGATGTTTAAACTTTACTTACTTTGTTTTAAAAGCGGTCATTAAACAGACGACCTAATTCTGAATTTATGACTATCAATGTTCAACTCACCGTAGCTTTGTAATATTGAATTTAATCCAGGAGATAATGCTAACTCCTGGATTAAGCATTTAGACAAACTAGCTTTCTTGGAGGATTTGTGATGGAGCAAACCAGCATTTGCGTTACATTGAGAGGGAAACCACGAAAATCTCCCATGGTTAGCCCGACGACAAGGGGACTCTAACCCATAATTCGTCTACCACTGAGGATATTTTACGTTAGCACTGTGGTCAGTGCGAACCGGGGCAGAATTCAAACTCACCAGCCATGGGTGGGATTCGAATCTGGGACACCTCATTGGGAGATGAACACTCAACCCCTTAAGCCACCGCTGCTGTTCTTACTTTATTTTATAACCAGCGTTGAACACCCCCCCCCCTCAATTCTGAGTTGACGACCATCAATGTTCAACTTCGTAGCTCTGTAATTTTAAACCCAATCCAGAAGACAAGGGAACTCCTATATAAAGCATTTGCAAAAACTAGCCTCCGTGGAGGACTTCTTGGTGGAAATAACCTGCCTTTGCATCACTCAAAACCTTCCACGGTTAAAAATTTTAACCAGTAATCCGTCTACCATTGAGAATATTTTAAGTCAGCGCTGTGGTCGATACGAGCCGGGTGTAGAATTCGTATCAAACAGCCACCGCTGGAATCACCTGAGTCACCGAGGCTCAGGATCCCCTGATTTCTATTATTGGAAGCCTTCTTTCTCGCTTAAGCAAAAAAATTTACAGTCCAGAAAATATGTGCGCGATCCTGTGTTTGATGAATCCGAAAATTTATGCAATACGTTATGAAATTTTTTTGTCAGTGCTAAATAATCTCTGAAAAGATGTTTTAACCATATTTCTCGATTTTATTGGGTTGTTCGGAAAACAATTTCGTTTTTACAAGGCAAATTAAAGGCAGTTTTCTTAGAGTGAATAAATACTTTGCTAAATCATATATTGTCCATTCTGGTCCAATACATTTTAGCATCTTTCTGGCAGTAGCATGATTTTTGCGAGCATAAAATTTTCGTTCTTTGCTGGTAAAAAACTGATGCAGGTGATTTTTGATCTTCTTATTTGAATTAAAAGCTTTACCAACTAAAAAAATTATTAAAGACCGAAACATTGTTCTAGACAACCAATTTCTTGTCCCCGCATTTCAAAAATGGATAATTTCTTTGACTTTTGAGAGCAAATCACGGAAGTCAACACGACGAGGCAAGTTTCTTTTCGTAAGTACATGAGGAACAAATGCGTCGAGCTATGAGATTAATAATCCTTAAAGCTTTTCAAATGATCATAAATGGTCGCATTTGATAAATTTAAGCTCTCACAATCTCACGATTTGTTTGTTATTCACCTGTTTGTATAAATGAATGGCTTTACCAGCTTAAACTGGAGTGGTGCATCTTAAACGAAATTTTGCTGAATCGAATGTCTCAA